TTCACAAATTTTTACCCAAAGGAAAAAAAAGTTTCACTTTTATTCATATTAACTAAGGCCGTATACAGAAAGAAAGCTGGTAGGCGGCGCCGATCTACCAGCGCTTATCGGCGCTGGTCTATTCTGGTAACAGTTACATAAAGGAAGCCGATTGAAGCAGAGCGAGTAAAATGTCGTACTCGTCGGACGATGAATTAGTTTTGATGGAAAATGTGTATTTTAAAATGCCAAAATAAGTTATACGTCCTATTAATAGAGAAAGGAATCGTTTCGAAGAATACCATCATTTATTTGTAAAACAATTGAAATTTGATGATTTGATGAATTTAAAATGTTTTAACGTGGTTTAAATATGACACTTGTACAGTCAACAGCAGATCAAGCGTAACACTTTGAGATTTGTACCGACATTATTATTTTGTAACTAGCTGTTCCCCGCGACTTTGCCTGCGTGTAATTTAGGGTTTTAATTTTTTAGCGAGGAACCCTAATTATTTTTCTAAAATAAAAGTAGCCTAAGTTATTCCTTATGACATCAGCTATCTGCCAGTGAAAGTCCCGTCAAAATCGGTCCAATCGTTTCGGAGTTTAGCCGGAACAAACAGACAGACAGACAGACGGACAGACAGACAAAAATTTAAAAAAGTGTATTTTTGTTATAAGTACTGTTTATACTTTCATATGCATTTAGTAAAACGTTGTAATTTTGATATTACAAACAGACACTTAAATTTTATTTATTTGTATAGATAAGAGCGATTTTAAAAAGTATCTAAGTGTTAGCCTTGATATGCCGTCTTCCGTACAATCAACACGTCAATATTCATTTCTCTATTTAACAAAAATATATGCGTGTCGTAATTGTACGTGTTGTATAGTTATTTATTTATTATAAATGGCGGGCGGCGCCAGCGCTGACCGGCGGGCGCGAAGTTTGTCGGAACTTGTCGGCGACGTTCGGCGCTTATCGGTGCTTATCGGCGCCTGTTCTTATAAATGCCTGCGCCGGTTACCAGCGTGGACCGGTCCCTATAAGCGCTGATAGGCTGCCAGCTTTCTTTCTGTATACGGCCTTAAGGTCTATGATAAAAAACTTTATAATGCTAAAAGAATGTATAAATTCTAGTAGTAAAGCCTTTGATACCTTAAAACATGACATTCTTCTAAGAAAACTTAAAAACTCTGGTGTTAGAGGACCCTTCCTAAGATGGTGTAAAGACTATGTGAGCAATCGATATTTCCAAGTAAATATAGAAAATAATTTAAGTATTAAAATGCCTATGACTACAGGTATGGCACAAGGCTTAGTTATAGGGCCACTCCATTACTTAACATACGTAAATGAATTAGAAAATATAATTAAAAAATGTAGTTTATACCAGTACGCAGATGATACGTGTCTTCTGTCAGAAGATAAAAATGTGGAAATAGCTATGCAACAGTTACAAGATGATTTTTCACGCCTCTCTATGTGGGCACACGACCTAGGACTTATAATAAATATACAAAAAACCAAGATACTACACATTCACTCAAGTCACATCAGGAACATTAGGCCAATCAGCATTATTGCCCATAATCATCTCTGTCTGCACAATGTAATAACTTATTCATGTGAAAAAATTCCGGTTGTTAAATATCACACATACTTAAGACTGGTCATAGACGATAGGATGAACTGGAAGAATCATATTGATTACGTGTGTAGTAAATTAAGAGCAGTCCTAGCGAAATTTCATATTATTCGTAATACAGTTCCATTTGAAATTCGTTTAAGCCTATATTCGTATATGCTTTAGTGGAATCGATAGTGTCATATGGTCTTAGTAGCTATGGGCGAACTTTCCGCACTTATCTACATAAAATATACAGCTTACAAATAAGACTGTTAAAATCTATTTTGCCTCAACACATTAAGGATAAATATCGGAATGACTACTCATACCTTTTCACGTACTGCAATGTTTTACCCATACATAAAAAGGTGAAATATATGCTTCTGAAAGAATGTTATGAGTACTCGATAGACCCAACCCTAAGAGATCGCAATTATAACACCAGAAATACAACACCTTATTCACTAATTAGAACGAATAATTACTACGGTAAGAGAACACGTAAATATCTAATACCATTCCTGTTAAATTCTTTACCTACAGAATTAAGAAGCCAACTAACAGCACAAAACATAAAAACAAAACTTAATTTTTTTTATATAATTAGAATTCTTCAAAAAATATTTAAATGTCATCATCATCATCATTACAGCCTTTCATAAGTCCACTGCTGAACATAGGCCTCCCCCAAGGAATGCCACAAAGCACGGTCCTGAGCCACCTGCATCCATCGACTTTCTGCATGTCTTACCAGGTCGTCACTCCATCTCGTGGGGGGGGGGGGGGGGGGGGTCGCCCTACACTTCGCCTACTGGTACGAGGCTGCCACTCAAGAACCTTTCTTCCCCATCGGTTGTCGGTTCTTCGAGCTTCTTGCATTGAAGAAGCGATCGAGCGGAACCAAGGCTCCAAAGTCTTTGCCAGAGATCTGTCTGCCAGAAAGAGCCAACCGTCAATACTGAGGACCGAGTGTGGCAGCATCGTTTCCGGGGAACCTGAGATTTTGAGTGAGATTGAGAGGTTCTATGGGCAGCTGTACACGTCATCGTTGGAGCCACACGCAAGTGTGAGTAACGATTCAAGAGCGAGTCTTATCCGACACTATTCCGAAGATATCCCGGACGTCAGTCTGAGTGAGATTAGAATGGCTCTCCAGCACCTTAAAAACGGCAAGGCCCCAGGCGAGGATGGAATTACAACGGAGCTTCTGAAAACGGGTGGAAAACCGGTACTTGAAGTCCTTCAGAAGCTCTTTAATTCCGTCCTCCATGCTGGCATTACACCGGAGGCGTGGAGCAGAAGTGCGGTGGTCTTGTTCTTCAAGAAAGGTGACAACGCTCTCTTGAAGAACTACAGACCGAATTCCCTTTTGAACCGCGTCTACGTGCTGTTTTCGAGAGTCATTACGAATAGTCTCGCGCGCAGACTTGACGACTTTCAGCCTCCCGAACAATCCGGTTTCCGAAAGGGCTTTAGCACCATAGACCACATACATACCCTTCGGCAAGTTGTACAGAAGGATTGTACCGAGGAGTACAATTTGCCACTATGCCTGGCTATGTGGACTATGAGAAAGCCTTTGATTCCGTCGAAATTTGGGCGGTGCTGCAGTCCATTCAGCGGTGCCAAGTTGACTGTCGGTATATCGAAGTGCTGAAGTGCTTGTACAAAAGGGCTACGATGGCTATCCGAGTACAGAACCAGAGTACGAAACCTATTCAATTGCAGAGAGGTGTAAGACAGGGTGACGTTATATCCCCGAAACTCTTCACAGCTGCATTGGAAGGCGTTTTCAAGCTTCTGGACTGGAAAGGATACGGTATTAACATCAATGGCGAGTACATCACTCACCTTCGATTTGCCGACGATATAGTCCTTATGGCAGAATCGCTGGAGGATTTAAGCACCATGCTCAATGACCTCAATAGTGTCTCCCAACGGATAGGTTTTAAGATGAACATGGACAAAACAAAGATTATGTTCAATACCCATGTCACACCTATGCCGGTAGTTGTTGGGAGCACTAAGCTCGAAGTTATTGACGAGTATGTTTACCTGGGACAAATAGTCCGACTAGGTAAGTCCAACTTCGACCGAGAGGTCAATCGACGGATTCAACTCGGCTGGGCAGCGTTCGGGAAACTACGACACATCTTCTCGTTAGACATTCCTCAAAACCTTAAAACGAAATTGTACAACCAGTGCGTGTTGTCAGTGATGACTTACGGATCTGAGACCTGGTCCTTCACTGCTGGCCGTGTGAGGAAGCTCAAGGTCGCTCAGCGAGCTATGGAGAGGGCTATGCTCGGGGTTTCTCTGCATGATAAACTTAGAAATGAGGATATCCGCAGTAGAACCAGAGTGACCGACATAGCCCAACGGATTAGTAAGCTGAAGTGGCAGTGGACCGGCCATATAGCTCGAAGAACCGACAAGCGATGGGGAAGAAAGGTTCTCGAGTGGCAGCCTCGTACCGGTAGGCGAAATGTAGGGCGACCCCGCACTAGATGGAGTGACGACTTGGTAAGACATGCAGGAAGTCGATGGATGCAGGTGGCTCAGAACCGTGCTTTGTGTCATTCCGTGGGGGAGGCCTATGTTCAGCAGTGGACATATGAAAGGCTGTAATGATGATGATGATGATGATGAATTAAAAACCATTGCTCGCGTACGAGCAGACTTATGGAGCGAACTCTCGATAAGTAGTCGCTTTGAACCTTTTTAACCCCGACGCAAAAAGAGGGGTGTTATAAGTTTGATCGATATGTGTGTTTGTCTGTCTGTCTGTGTGTATGTCTGTAGCACCGCTCGTTTTTCAAGCGGTGGTTCTAAGACATGTTTTATCAAAATCACTTCAGCCGTTTCAAGGTCTTTTGTTGGCTGCGGTAGGGTTCTTTTCAGTCATTTCTAAAATTTTCAATTTAAGTTATAATTATTATAGTCCAGTCGACAGAGGTCCATTGCTGTGTGCATAGATTATACAAGCATTTCTCAATTAAAGATGTTTAAAATAAAAAATGTTCGATTATCAAATTTAGCAGTAAATATTCTTTATTAGCCTTTATGATGATGTGTAACTTGCCTGTATCGAACAAATAAATGGAGTATCTAACTTTTTTTTAGCATCATTTCCTTGTATTTTCATCGTATCCATTGGCTTTGTTTTACAATGAAAAAAACTTCAATTTTCAAGACGAAATTTTAATTTCATACCGCGATAAATATTTAAAGATTAAATTTCATTACAAAGTAGCGGTTCGCTATTGAAAACAGGCTACTTTCGCATGTTAGGCTTGTTAAAAAGTAGCGCCCATGGAATGTGATTCAAAATCGTGCCTAACTGTTATTTTTGTGTGTTTTGAGGGTATTATTTTTTATTTTCAGAGAGGGGCGAATGCAAGCCGCACCGTTTGGACGATGCTTACTTGCTGCGCTTTTTGAGAGCACGTCGCTTTGTGCCGGCGCGTGCACACAGATTGGTGCGTTGCGTTGAATGCAACTTTATACAGCTTAAAACAGATTAAACATTTTCTAGGAGAGCAAGGGAATTTGTGAGCTTTTTTTCCAATTGCAATCCACATTTTTTATTGGAAATAAGCGAAATGTAAAAGGGACTAACGAGCACGCAGCTCACTTGATGGTAAATGAATGCTGTGGCTCTTATATTTCTATTTTCTACCCTCGATTAGTATGAGGGCGAATAATCTTCTTATTCTCACCAGATGCCGCTATTATCATTATTATTGAAAATATTACCATTTAAATAAAAGTTTTCAGGATTCTAGTTGATGAATATGGATAAAACAATGCCACGGTGCTGTGTTATATAATTGTTTACACTTTTTTATTTATTCAACTTTTAGGAATATTCGAAGATTGGTTTTTATCGGTTTCTAATCTAATTATTAATATGAAATATACCTAAGATTTCAGAAAACAATAGGTAATCTCTACGCTTCTAACTACTAACTAATTAACTTACCCCGCCATGAAGTCTGTCAAATATTACAACTCATTCCAAAGTGTTGCCGCCCTGGTGGCAGAAAAAGTCGCCTCATTTAAAATGCATTGTTACCAAATCTCTTTTTATATTCTACTAAAGCCAGTGCTTATCTAGGATCCCACCTGATGGTAAGTGGTGATGTAGCTTAAGATGGTGAAGCGCACTGACTTTTTTTATAGGATAAGGGTGACAAACGAGCACACAGTCCACCTGATGGTAAGTGGTTGCTGCGGCCCATAGACATCTACATCTATCCTTTATTACAAATCAAAATGTAGATGCGTTGTCAAAAAGGGCCTCCGGCCACCTGCACTCACCAAGCGAAACGCAGAGGTAGACCTCTACTTCACGCTGGTTTTCTGTGAGGTCGTGGTACCACCCCGGTTCGAGCCGGCCCATCCGTGCGACAGCAAAAGCTGCCGCGTGGCTCTACCACTGTTAATGAAATATGACTTAACAAAAGCTTATTCACTCTTGCCTTGAAGACCCACCCACCCACACTGTACTTGACTCTACTCTCCACATGGCACACTTGCATCATGTTGCTATTTTAAACTGTTAAATTATGCGATCGTAAGCCCCCCGTTTTTTCCTTCTACTTTACTTGTTCTTCTGGTTATGGTACGCTGAATACACTATTGGCAAGAATTTCTTGAAAAAGTAGTAAGTCATAATTATTTGTCTGCGTACTTACCTATTTCTAATTACAAACACAAGCACGTAAAGCCGTTGGTTTTGGTCATGTTGGATTTCCATCCCATCGGTTTATGTGAAGAAAAAATAGAGAGTGCACCTGTGTTTGCACACACACACTCATGCATTATAATCCTGTTATGCGCTAGCTCGCTAGCCTTCGTTACGACTGGCTTATGCTGGATATTAACCACCTTCAAGCACCGGTGTACCCTCTGCTTTTTCCCTATATTTGTTTGCCACACTCACCATCAGGTGGGCTGTTAGCAAATTATACTAACAGTCCTAGGTGGACTATCAGCTCTATAAATACGATTAAATTTGACTGATAAAGTTTCCTTTTTACTTTCTATTAGTTTGTATGTAAGTACAATTACTAGAGCGATTTGTTATGTATTCCTAGTTGGTTCGCTACTGCACATTTCGTGAACAAAATCCGCAGCTGTGGCGTGACGTGTACTGGTATGGACTGGCGCGCCTCGGCAACGTGTTCGAGGGGATCCTGTTCGACAGGCCGGATGTCGGCAGGCTAATTATATGCAGAATAGGTACGTATTGACTAATACCTGATTCCTATATTTATAAAACGTTTCGTTCCCTGTTCAGATCGTCTACGAAGTGCATTTGGATATCGATCTTATTACAAACAATCTGATTATAACCTGTCGGAAATATCTGCGAACCTCGCTGGAATGCGCTTCCCCTCGCGCTTCCCCGCACCTCCGCCCGTTATCGTCTATCCAGTACCGTTGCCATCTCTCCATATTGCATGACGTCATCAAGCCAGGTTCGCAGATATTTCCGCCCGTTATCGTCTATCCAGTACCGTTGCCATCTCTCCATATTGCATGACGTCATCAAGCCAGGTTCGCAGATATTTCCGACAGGTTATACCATCTTACGACTTACAAGTGGTAAAATTAAAAAAAGCGGTTAAGTGCGAGTCGGACTCGCCCATGAAGGGTTCCGTAGCAGCAAGTAACATAATATAAAAGTTCTCGTAGTTCTTTGTAACTTTGATCGATGTTTTAATAATAGTGTATTTTTTATTTTTATATTTGAGTTGATTGAATGAAAGGTAAATTGCGGTTAACGATTTATGACGTATTAAAAAAAACTAGTTACTAGATCTCGTTGAAACCAATTTTCGGTGGAAGTCTACATGGTAATATACATCATATATTTTTATTTAGTTTTATCATTCTCTTATTTTGGAAGTTACAGGGGAGGCACATTTTACGACTTTGGAAGTGTCTCTCGCGCAAACTATTCAGTTTAGAAAATAAAGATATTAGAAACCTCAATATCATATTTGAAAACATATCCATAGACACGTATGGTTTTGTAGAAAAAAATTTTTGAGTTTCAGTTCTAAGTACGGGGAACCCCCAAAATTTATTGTTTTATTTTTCTTTTTTTGTGTGAAAGTCTTAATGCGGTTCACAGAATACATCTACATACCAAGTTTCAACAGTATACTTCTTATAGTTTCGGAAAAAAGTGGCTGTGACATACGGACGGACAGACAGACAAACATCTATCCTCGACTACAAATCAAAATGCAGATGCGTTGTCACCCTGAGGAGTAACATGGAATGACTAGTTTCCAGTAAAAAGAGTCTCCGGTTCTCTACACTCACTATACGAAACACAGCAGCATTAAGCTGCTATTTTACGCTGGTATTCTGTGAGAGCATAGTCCTTCCCCGGTCGCGCAGACCCATTCGTGCTACAACTAAATACCTGCAGCCTGCCTCTACCACGTATGAAATACAAGTTTAACATCTAAAAAGGGTATCAACTATCAACTATGTAAATAAGCTATTTATTATTATTATCGTAATGATAACATTACAGCTTATTAAAATTTCACTGCTGAACGTAGGTTGCTGCCATAGATTTTATTAGACACGGCATCATTATGAATTCGATATAGAGCACGGACTCGGAATCGCAATCTTTTGTAGGTTTGTGGGACCCAGACGTGTTCCCGGCGGAGGAGCTGATCCGTGGCTGTTTGCTGCTTCTGGAGGTGGGCATCATGCAGCCCAAGCTGCAGGTGCTAGGTGGCACTGCCATGGTGGACTGCGAGGGCATTACCATGAGGCATATGCGCCAACTCTCACCATCTGTAGCTATACAGGCAATGAATGTTATGGGGGTAAAACATTTTACACTTTTTTTTATAAGATAGGGTGACAAATGAGCACACAGTCCACCTGATGATAAGTGGTCATAGACATCTACATTTATCCTCAATAAAGAATCAAAATGCAGATTTGTCATCACCCGTGAAGACTAAGATGGAATGCCTCTTTTTCAGTAAAATGGGTCTCCGGTTCTCTACACTCACCATACGAAACACAGCAGTATCAAACTGCCATTTTACGCTGGTATTCTGTGAGAGTGTGGTCCTTCTCCGGTCTAGCCGACCCATTTGTGCTACTACTATACTACTAATATAGCTGCAGCATGGCTCTACCACGTCTCTCCCTCGCTCTCTCTCTATCTCTCTTTCTCTCCCTCACTCTCCCTCTATTTCATTAGCGTGTAACATTACACTACTGGATACTTCTATCTTGTGGGTAAGATTTGCTTTAAAAATTTTAGATTATCTTCGTCTTCGTCCCAAGCTCTCAAAAGTCTTCTGCTGAACCTAATAGATTGTCTCATAGGTAGACATTTACCATACACGCTTGGCAGGCGGGTTGGCAACCGCAGTTTTGTATTGTTTTAAGCTGTTATTAGAAAGATGTCGCTGCCTATCTCTTGTTTCATTTTCCTCTGTCTCCTCTTACGACACCCACGAGGTGATACGAGATAGTGGATTCTCTCCCGCTGCCACTGCACAGTTTGTCTTAAATGTAACTATTTTTATACAAAACTAACTGTTCCCCACGACTTCATCCGCGTGAAGTTATTTTTCGCGGAACCATAAAATAAAAGCAGCCCAAGTTACTTCTTATAAGATCAGCTATCTGCCAGTATGTATAAATATTGACAAATATTGACATTAATATTTATACGATACTAACGTCACTCAATTGTTTTGCCTTCCCGGAACCCCTCAACTAACTCTTAAACATAATGTATGATACTAAAAAGTTCAAATTGACTTTTAAGTATTATTACGAATCTTTTGTATGGGAATATAGAAAAGTGTTGTTTTTAGACTTTTTCATGCAATTTTTTTAAATTTTTCTCTCCGTAAGGGCCATCTTCGTACTTCAAGGAATATTATAAAAGAAGAATTAGCGAAATCGGTTCAGCTGCTCTCGAGATTTGCGCTTAGCAACACATTCAGCGATTCATTTTTATATTATAGATTCTTTTTAAGTGAAAACTTCTTTAGAATCGTTGTGATTTGAATTTATTTTTTTATAGGATAGGGTGATAAACGAGCACACAGCCCACCTAATGGTAAGTGGTTGCTATGACCCATAGACATCTACATCTATTCTCAATAAAGTATCAAAATACAGATGCGACGTCACCCGTGAGGAATAAGATGGAATGCCTTTTTTCCAGTAAAATGGATCTCCGATTCTCTACACTCACCATACGAAATACAGCAGTGTTAAGCTGCCATTTTACGCTGGTATTCTGTGAGAGCGTGGTCCTTCCCGGGTCGAGCCGACCCATTCGTGCTACAACTATACTACTAATATAGCTGCAGCATGGCTCTACCACGTATAATCACTAAAAAGAGACAAACATATACATCTATAGGATTTTGCCTGCGAGAGAATTATATAGAATACACTGAATACAGTATACAGTGTTTCCTATTATTTCGGTTTCCTTTTCTAAAGGTTTCACTTGTTTCTTTCACAACTCCACAGACATGTTTCTTTTTTTCAGTTTACCGTGTAGTGGTGGTATAGAATATCCACTAACCCATATTGTCCCGTGGATGTTGTATGAGGCGAAAAAGGGTAATTGAACCTGTCGATGAGCAGGTGGAAAGATACTGATCTTCCTGATGAAAACTCAAAAGTTTCGCAAAGACGTCTGGCAACTATTGGATAATTCTACGTTAGTTATAGGGGAGGCATATGTTCAGCAGTGGACTTTTATAAGCTTTACTTGATGGATGTAATGAAAGTTAAATATTCTAGGTTATGACTTAAAAGAAATCAAATAATAAGATTTTATAATTCATTCAGCAGTATGCCTAAATGTTATGGGAATATTTTATTTTGAACATTTGATACACCTAGGACAATACCGACATCTATTTGTTCAGTGAATAGTAATTATTAGCATTATTAGCTATTACGCAAAATTTTAGTGTCCAAAATATTTACGTAAAATTTTTTATCGACTTTGAGGTCATCAGTTTTAGACATCATGCAGAATAATATATATAGTAAAAATTTAAAAGTTTCTACACGTGCAATGCTTCGTGAGTTAAAACCGGACCTTAAAACTGCCGTTTTCCAATAAGCGATATTTATCGAGAAAGTTACTGTTTACTGAGAGAGAATCGAACGCCGTTTCTGGCAAATTTCGTATCCCGTTAAAATTAATAACTTAAAGAGGCTCGTCAGCGATGATGCCACTGCGATTAAAATAACTGCCGGGTCGACGATGTAAAGAAATTTAAAAAAAAAACACGCTAAAAGTGTGTTAAAGAGTCTGAAAACGTTTAAGTGTACAAAAAGCCAAATAGTTATATCGGACATTTAATGGAGATATTTAATGAGGAAAAGGAGTAATTAATATGAATTAAATTCTCTTTATAAATTGGCCACATAACTTAGCATTTAAAAGTAGTATCATTAGCACAACTCGAATTATGTACCGTTGTATTAATGTCAAAATTAACAAGATTAATTTATGATAAATTTAACGCTCGCTATGAAATACACAATATTTTTGCCCTATCCGATTCAAAAATAGAATTACACTGAATCAATTCTTGTCCACATCGCCGGAATATTTTTGTAAGTAATCGTGTCGCTAAGTCACGAGAATTTAGTATAAAATTAATAACTTACGAGTACCAGACTCAACACCAATGATGTCACTGCGATTAAAATATTCGTAGTCGCGTCAACGTCCAAGATATAAAACAATTAAAAAAAACACGTCAAATGTGTGTTAAACGGTCTGAAAACGTTTAAAGATACAAAAATACCAACTTAATATTATACACTGTGGATCATGGATGGGCATAGGTATGTATTTAATGGGGAAAAAAGAATAATTACACACAATTAAATGCTTTTTATTTATTGGCCACGTACCATATTTCAAAAACAAGGATTACAAGTGTCCTTATCATTCATTTGATTTTAAAGTTCAAAGGCTAAAACCTTTTTTATACTAGTCTTGCAACTACAACGTACGGTCGCGAAATAATTCTCGTTGTTATTATATTGTGTAAGTTAGGGTCAACCTGAGAGGTCAACTTACTTTAGTGTTTTTTTTAAATGAAGTTCTATACTTAATTCGAAGGACTCTTCCGCATATTAAGATAAATAAAATATTATATTACGCTGTACTTCATTGCATTATTTTCCTGTTCACTGCCTCGATAGTCTAGTGATCGTAAACGCTATTGCTGATCGCAGGTTGGATTCCCGGGTCGGGCGAAAATCAGTTAATGGAGTTTTCTGTCAAGAAACTCTCATTAACAGCCCAGAGTAAGGTAAGATGGTGCTCCACCCCCGTGCCTCGGCCGGGTGCTTGCCATCGGACTATGAGAGTTAGGGATAGATGGGATAGGTGTAGATGTCTATGGGCCACAGCAACCACTTACCATCAGGTGGACTGTGTGCTCGTTTGTGCACCCTTATCGTATAAAAAAAAAATTAAAAATTAAAAATGTTGTACAGCCGACTTCAATATAAGTTATTAAGAATAACTCATTAACTATTGGTAAACGAGAAGTGTCAGCTTTCAAATAAAAAAGGAATCATCGAAATCGGTTCACCTAGTAAAAAGCTATGAGGTAACACACATAAAAAGATATATACAGTCGAATTGAGTACCGTTTCCTTTTTGGAAGTCGACAGAAATAATTTAAAAATAAAAATTTTGAACAGCCGACTTCAATATTAGTTATTTAAGAATAACTCAAAAACTATTGGTCTGACCTTGATCAAATTAAAAAAGACCACACGAGAACTATTAGCTTTCATATAAAAAAAGAATCATCGAAGCTTTCATATAAACAAAGTTATGATGTAACACACATAAAAAAAACATACAGTCGAATTGAGTACCGTCTCCTTTTTGGAAGTCGGCAAAAAAGGGGACAGAGTTTTAGTAAACTATTAAGTAATCTGTGACAGAGTGCAACTATGCTTGCGCTTTCACTGGGACACTGTAATCCTGTCCTGCACATATGGCTAGTCTCCAGTTCGAAGTGACCGAAATTCGATCTGGAGGACATTTAATTTTAATTTTTATCTGTCTGACAAATTGCAATTACCTAAGTTCATTTAACGATACATATAATTGTGAGTGAGGGACAATTATCAAAACATATGGCGTCATATTTCATCTCTGACTTATACGATAGTTAAGTTATCGTTTTTAATTTAGTTTTTCATCAGTTTTAAGACGAATCAAAATCCACGGACGCAGAAATAAGCATCATTAAATTTTGTTTATCTTCGTTATAGCCTATTAAAAGTTCAATGTGCTGAACATCACCCATAGATGTGATAATATGATGTCAAAATAGAGGGATAACTTGCCATAGTTGCCACGCTTGGCTAGGGTTGGCAACTGCTTCTTTTTTATTAAGCTGTTATCAGGGTGATGCTACTGCCCCTCTCCAGACTCAGTTTAGTTTCCGTCTATCTCTTCTTACGAAACCCACGGAATGTCTTGGTGTGGTGGAATCTCCAACGCCGCCACTACACACGGCCATCCCCCCTTTTTCGGAGGACGAAAGATGTAGCACTTCTTTATGAGAATACTCTCACAGAAACCAATCTGTTCCCAGTATGCGTTTCCTCTGCACCAGCGTGGCGTCCACGTTGTGAACTGCTCCAAAGTCTTCGAGGCGCTGTTTCATCTGTTTAAGCGCTTCGCTCCGAACGACGAACTCTGGAGAAAAGTCCATTTCCATGGATATGATTACAGTTCTTTACATAGGTATGTTTATTATCCATTTTTAATTCGCAAACACAACTGTTGGACGTGGGTCTCTCCACCAGAGAATTGGACGTAATTCCTCCGTTAGACAGGCGGATTGGCAACTGCTGAAGCCATTATCATATTTTTGCAAAATGTCAATAGCTTAGGGTTAGGCTGTGGTGCTGTGGGCTACGTGTTTAATATTTATACCTCGTAAGGAACAAAAACTTGAATCAGGCCTCCTCTCATTTCTGAGAGGGTTTTAGGGCAAGGAAATGCCCGCGCGCTGCCCCAATGCGTGTTGGCGAACTTTACATGTCTTAGAAATATTTGTTTTTTTTTTTTCTTATTTCTCAGACATGCAGGTTTCCTCACGATGTTTTCCTTCACCACCGAGCACGTGGTAAAACAGCACTTAAAATTGCAATTAACAATTTCATTGGTGCCGGCGGGACCATCTCTATATATGAAAAATGTCCCTAAAAACGTGCCCAATAAGGGTGGTGCTGCATTAGCATAGGATAAATTAAAAAAAGCGCCGAAAGCAATTAGAATAAGATGGAGAAATAAACAAGGACCGACCAATCCGCTTGGTTTTGTACTACGTAAATAGTTGAGATTTTGTATACTGGCATTTTACTAACTACTCTAATCATGAATTTTTTTAAATATTTGAATTCAGCTGACTTCACTCCGTTCACAACAGCTATCTTCATATCGTAGTTTTTAAGACGCCAGCGCTATTGTGGTAGGTTTTGGAACCTCTATTTTCAGTAAATAGTAGGACACATTTTCAACTTTCGCCCCTTATAAGATGGTTCTCCTTGTACTCTACACTCCATACGTCATTGGTAAGAGTCATAGAGATATGAGACGTCTGACGCTCAGTACTTGTCTATGTTCAGTTCTACTCTAAACATAAACAAGAAAAGTCTTTTAATTTTTAATGTGTCAACATTTTAATTAGTAGACTAGTTAGTACTTCGTTTCATTTTATGTAATAGCAACATTACAATTATAATTTTTACTTACATCTTGCGAGTGAGCTCGACGGGTGAGTGTGCCATTTTTGATCTATACCATTATACACATAATAATAATTAAATTGGTTTCAATTATTTGAACAAAGAAGCTTGTGGTCCTTCGAGCCGGATATTACCAAATTAAATTATATTATTATTATTTTTATTCTAATTAATACTAATATTTATTTTATTATATGATGATGGATCAACAGCTTGCTGGTAATCAAATATTAATATTAATCTGTTGATCCACCATCTGATACAAGTCGCTGCACGTAATTCTAGCGCTAAACGAAACGTGGAGGGGATGCGAACGAATTGAATTGCTAGTATGTGACTGAAGAGCCAATCAGCGCGTGCGAATGATACGCACGAGCCAATCAGCGCGACTTATGCGCAATAACGGTTACCGCTAGACTTTCATGCCGCTACTTATACTGCGATTGTCAAACCGCCTGCTAAGTGTGACGATTAAGGCAAATCCTCCCTACTACTGGAGACGGATTTTACTTTTGCAGAATTCAAGGGCGCACTTTCTTCGACTTCAACCCTCAGTAGATACCAGCACATGAATTACAACGTCGAAACGTATGTCATTAGCCACCCTGTTTCGTATTGCTGTCTTATTCTGTGATTTCTTTTATACTATTTGTTGAAATATTTCGAAAGCTAGTAAATAATCATGTACAAGTCCATTTTACCAACTTCAAAAAAGAGGATGTACTCAATTCGACTGTATTTTTTTTATGTGTAACTCATAACTTTTTTCCAGGTGAACCAATTTTGATGATTATATTTTCATTTGAAGGCTGGTGATTCTTGAGTGGTCCCATATAAATTTGATCAAGGTCTGACCAGTAGTTTTTGAGTATACTTAATAATTTATATTAAAGTCGGTTGTACAAAATTTTTAATTTTACCGCTTGTACAGGCTTACTTTTTATAAGAACATAGCAATTCGAAATATAGAATGGTGGTTAAAATGTTTGTATTATAATTTTATACTGACTTCTGTATATAACATTAGGTACATAGACCCGGAATGTCTTCCTAGAAGATACGGAGGCTGCAGGCAGGAGGTGTCGCTCAACGAGTGGCTGACCAAGATCAGGCACTACAGGAACCAGCAGTTCGACGAAGACATGAGGAGTTTAGGATATGCTGTAGATTAACTGTGTTGTCAACCAAATTAGTTGTCAACCATTACTAGATTTAAAAGTAAAAAACCGCGCAGCAAAAAAGTGAATACCTCAATAATTTATTAAACAAGACAATAAAAATATTTTATTACATCTACAGTGTTTTATGATTACCTACATTATAGAACATGCTTTATTGGTCTACTTTTGTCTTTACTTTTTAATTTTTGGTAAAAATTGTATCGTTGGTCTTTAAAATAATGACATAAAACTACACCTAAATACCTGCGGAGTTTTCTTCGCCATTTTTTCTACGAACAACTATGGAAAACCGGAGAAATTTTGAACAATATTAGATTATACGTTTCACAAATCAAATTTTAATTTCTTACGTCAAAGACTAAAAAAAATAATTTTCATTTCTAAATTTGGAAAATGTCCCTTCCCCGGTGCAGTTTAACATTAATTATTTAACGTTTTGCATGCATACTAATTAAGCCACAGAATACTATAATTTCTGTATTATAGTATTCTATGAATTAACCAACATTTACCATACCCCTCTTTTGTGGGGGTGCTGCTGCTATGACTTCACCTATTGCCCAACCTTAAATCTGATTCCCACCTTCATCCATATGCGACGACGGCGACGCTTCATGATTATCATCAGAAATATTCAGCTGCGTTCAATATATCACCACGTGGTAAATGAGCAATTATTACAAACGATCGAAACATTTTAAATTAAATTTAATACATTTTGAATTGTTGTCGTCAAACCAATGTACTAATTTCGATAGAGCATTATTTACATTGTCAAAATTAATTAAGTGTCGTTTGAGTTTGAAAATTAAAGAGGTATCATTAGCAAATAATACTATATCGTGATTGTCCCCTACAAGATAAGGTAAGTCATTAATATAGACTAAGAACAGGAATAGGCCAAACATCGAGCCCTGAGGAACGCCCATTGATACTACTAATCCGCAGGAACCTTTACCATTGATAACGACTTTTTGAGTTCTGTTATTTAAATATGAAATAATAAGTTTAAGGGTATTTTTTTTGACATCGTAATGTTGTAGTTTCCTGATTAATATCTCATGCCATCTTGGATTTACTTTTTGTTACCACTATTACACTATCAGCTTTAAATAGCCTCAAAACCGCCGCATTCTGAATGTACAAATAAGTTCACGAATTCATTATGATCGATCACACGGACTTATAATTCGATAACGATTATAAAAATGACAATAAAAATCATTCTTAACTTTCAAAATCAGCAGGAAGCTTAAAATAAGATAGTTCCGGTTTTTATGAAGCCGAGTTCAAACAGCCGTATACTACGCAACACGTTCGTGGCATTTTTAGTCTTGAGGCGACACTCGCTACTGAGAGCACCGCGACGAGCGCTTAGAAGTCTCGTCGTTGCGCATGTTTGTGTGAGTGTGCCGTTTCGAGCGTTTGTAGGAAGTTTCTGTACTGTTCCTACTATATATTTACTGTGGCTGAAGCAAGCTGAGGGCTATCTAATGGTAGCAAACTATTAATTTTCAACAAACAAGGCCGGTCAAAAAGCTATTACACGACAACTATTTAAATAATATTTTTGCTTTAACTAGGGCTTGTGCTATTGCTTAGTCAAAATTTAAGGCCGAATTTAAAGAATCAAAAAGAATAAAATTATTTACACATAATAGCAACCTAAGTCGGAGTATTAACCCCTATGTACACTATGTATATCTTAGCACCGACTTCGGAAGTTATAATGTGAAGAATATTTTATTGTAAGTTTAATTATTTAGGTTTGTCAAATGACGTGTGGTGTCGTGAAGTAGTAAAATAATCCGTCTTCCCCATAAGTTCCATTGACTTTGAGATTGAGAGTTTGAGAAATGCTTGTGGTATGTGGTCTCATAGCGACTTAGCGATATAACCTTAACGGTTTAACTTTCAAGTTAACCTGCAAATAATACAATCGGCAAATAGACATTTAAACATGGCCTTTCTCACAACTGTAAGAACATGCTTGCGATGTCCTGTGGTGCGTTTGTCAGTGTGATTTGTGAGTTTGTGGGTGACCTATGTTCTGGTGTGGGCTTAATCTCTCTATATATTATACATATTATAAAAGAAGATGTTTGTATATATGAAATTGTTTAATTCAAAATCTATTTGATCGATCACCATGAAAATTGGTAAATGTACTTACTTAGATATACCGTTATTGCAGTTGTTTGAAAATACGAAGAAATAAGGTTTCTACTTTTATTTGAAATTATCCCAAATTGAATGTTATTTATGGGCAACAACGTTTTTGTCTACCAATCAACCCTTACGAATGTGTGCGTGCGCAGTAAAATCGGTTAAAATAATACATTACCACACATTTTGAATTTAAAAGATTTCAAGGACAGAATGTTTGAGATTTTTTAAATTAATTTTTCACTACCATTTGCCTATATTACTTATTCTGAACCTTGTCCTGAAATTTGTATTATTATGTGGTATCTATAAAGTTTTCTCATCTGGTTGGGCAATATAAATATATTATTGTAAATAAACATGGTAAACGTACATAAATATCAATAAAATAAAATAAATACATAAAAAATACATAAATATATAAAAACCCAACCAGATGGAAGCCCTCGGCAGGGGAGACCAAACGGCCGAGGGTTAGGGGGAAAGGGAAAGAAACCGGCGGACGATGCGGGCGGTATCGAGGAGCACCGCCTTCTGCATTTGAGCATGGAGCGGTCCGTCACGGAGTCCCAGTCGCCTCAGATGACCCGAGAGGCTGACTGGGATTAACCCGTTCGCAGAGACGACTACAGGTTTAATTTCGCCCGGCAATCCACCCACATGTCGGTCACCTCGTGAGCCAGGTCCAGATATTTTGTTAGCTTATCTGTTTCGGCTTTCACGAGGTTCTCGTCATAAGGAATGGTAATGTTGACCAAAAATATCCTTGACTGTGCCCGATCCATCAGCACAATATCAGGCTTAGTCGCAAGAATAGTCCTGTCTGTGATGATGGCCCGGTCCCAATAGAGCCTGGCGCGGTTATTTTCGAGCACGGCTTTCGGCAAGTACTTATAATACGGCAGTTTCCGATCGACGAGACAGTATTTCAGAGCGAGGTCCTGATGTAGAATCCTGGCTACTAGGTTGTGCCTATGCAAATACTCAGAGTTAGAAAGCGCAGAACAACCGGAGATGCCTAAGTGACTCACCGGGATGGCGACAAGCTCGACAGACGTCGACGGTGCCATCCTTTAGGATGTATCTCCGATAATTGTTGGTCTTAATAACCTGGTCCTGTATCGCACAGACAAAACCCTCGGTTTCCCCAAAGAGGTCACCGAAACGTAGCTAGTGGAGGGAGGCGACTGTGTCTACGAAAGGCTCATGTAGAGCCTTGTAAAACCTCCCGTGGAGCTCCTTCTCCTTCCATAGGGTCTCCCGGTCGGAAATGCTCTGTACTGCCGGGTCTTGCCATTGCTCGTTGGCTAAGGATAGAGGGGTAAGTCCTTTATCACAAGAAATAACGTCCCTATAGTATGGATCATCCCCTCTCGCCAGAAAGTAATTACGGAGGCTGCACACTTCGCGATTATGCATGGTAAGCGCGCTTAAAAAGCCGCGTCCACCATGCTTCCGCGGCAAGTACAGCCTCATTACTGACGATCTCGGATGATGCATCCTGTGAGACGTCATAATAGTGCGGATTTTTCTGTCCAGAGCGTTCAGTTCGTACTGAGTCCACCTGAGTATGCCAAAGGTATACATGAGAACAGGCATGATCCAACCGTTATATGCGTGCGTCTTATTCACACCGGACAAAAGGCAGTTAAGCACTTTGGTCAAGCGTGCATAAAACACATCGCAAACTGACTGTTTCATACCCGCCTCACCGATGTTCTGTGACATACCCAGGTATCGGTATGTTTCAGCCTCGGAAAGGGTCCTTATGTTGATGTGCATAGATAAGTCTATGCCCTCAGAGTTAGCAACCGTTCCCCTTTCAACATGGAGGACCGCACAGTTATCCATCCCCAGCTCCATTCTAATAGAACTACTAAAATCACAAGTGATGTTTAGCAGCCCCATAAGATGGGAGCGACTGGAGACGAATAATAGAGAAGTGCATTGTGCCAAACCCGATCGAAGGCCTTCGCTATGTCCAAACTAACGGCCAACGCCTCCCCCTTGGACTCCACTGCCTCTATGAGTTAGGTAACCTAAAAGATCACCAGCTGAGCGACCTCGACGGAAACCGTACTGGCAGTCACCAATCAGCTGGTGATCCTCAAGGTACCGCATGAGCTGGCTGTTAATAATGGTTTCCATTATGTTATAAACCAATTCTTTTACTTGTATATTTAAACATTTGTTTAATTTTAAGTTTATACAAACTTGTCACATCATTTGTTTTTTTTTTTTAATAAAACATAATAACTATGTACTTTATCTGCAATATTAAGCATATTTGGTAATAAAAAACTTTAAATGGATAAATTTTACTAATTCATTCTTAAGTTCTGTTCAAGAAACTTGTTTTACTTGATAACGCACAGATTAACTTTGAACAGAGGCTATATATAAATAAGGAATTTTTATACTGATATTTTATACTTGGACCTTCACAGTCATTTTCACATTTAGTTAGTTTTATATATCTAATTGTGAAAATGACTATTAAGGTCCAACTACTCACTTTTAATGTCGACAATATCATGCGGATCGCTTGATATTAAGTTTCGATAGCCGCGATTTTAAAAATGATTAAGCTCATTTCTTAAAGATTCCTAATTCATATCGGTCAGAAAACATCACTCGTGGTAATGGATTCCTCAAAGAAGTCGTGCAATGATGAAAAAAGGAGTCGTAAGCTTCACAGTACGCGTGCAACCCGAGTTCGATCCCCGCCGGCACCAATGAAATTGTTAATTGCAATTTTAAGTGCTGATTTACCACGTGCTCGGCGCTGAAGGAAAACATCGCGAGGAAACCTGCATGTCCGAGAAACAAGAAAAAGTATTTCAAAGACATGTGAAGTTCGCCAACACGCAATGGGGCAGCGCGGCGGACATTTCCTTGCTCTAAAACGCTCTCAGAAATGAGAGGAGGCCTGTGCTCAGCAGTG